ATCCTTTCCTGGCTCTCCATTTGGTCCATTGTCTCCTGGTGGTCCTGGTGGTCCAGCTCTTCCTGGGTGTCCTGGGCGTCCATCGGCTCCTGGCTCTCCTGGTCCTCCTGGCTCTCCTGGCTGTCCTGGCTCTCCTGGTGGAGATGGAAGGGAACGAACTTGTCCGGCTTGTCCTGGGTTTCCAGCTCCTCCATCTTCTCCGGCCTCTCCTTGTGGTCCGGCTGGTCCTGGTGGTCCACGTGGTCCGGCACGTCCAGCTGGTCCTGGTTCTCCGTGTCCTCCTGGTGGTCCTGGTGGTCCCTTTGGTCCTGGTCCTCCGGCTGGTCCTGGTGGTCCAACTGGGCAATCGAAGCAGAAGTCGGCAGCAGTTGGCTTCTCATCCTTGTCAGATGCATCACGTCCTGGCTCTCCATCGTTTCCTGGCTTTCCATCATCTCCTGGAGCTCCGTCCTCTCCTGGAGTTCCTGGTGCTCCAGCAGCTCCAATTCCACAAGAGCAGCATTGGTATTCGGATTGACGCTTTTGACGATCGGCGACGGCACTGGAACGGACTTTGTCGAGTTTGAAGAATTCGGATTTCAGGTCAGCATTCTTGGCTTTGCAGAAGACAAGCTCCTCCTGGAGTCCGGATTGCACGTTTTGCATATGCAAACAGAGCATTGGCCGGCGACGATGGCCGTCAAAGTGGCAATGGTAGAAACAGCCACTCCTGAAAATTTGAAGATTTATAGACAGAAGAAAGTCAATTAGCTATATCTGAAATGCCACTTATAACACCTAATCAACCATCATAATAATCGAAAAGTAATTACCGAAGAAGGCGAATTTCTTGACGGAATCCGCCTCAGCAAACTTGAGAGTCTTCTCGTCGGCCATGTCCGTGAGTGTGATGGTTTCTACTATCTTCGAACCCCTCTTTTATACTTTCGCTTCGCAACCGATAGCGCCATTTTACAGTAACTACTAGGCAACGTTGAGATGGCAGAGAGAGTAGGGGTTTTCGGGAAAAAAAAGAAGACGTCAGATGGAAATATCATTTGAACCTGAGAGATTTTGAGAAGGGACTGATTGGTTTTTGGGGTTGGCTTGAAGAAGAAAAGAAGATGAAGAACTGAAGACGACCGTTGCTGGGCAAAAAAAAAGAAAAAAGACGAACCGATGTGAACTGTTATCATTCCTTGCAATCGGCACGACACTCTGTGCCGTTGTGATGGAAAACAGAAAAATGACGGAAGTAATTTGAAAAAAGTAAATGATAGGCATGGAATTAAGGATTGTTTTTCTCAAAAAGAATTCAGTTTGTCGGTAGTTTCATCGAAAAAGAGTAATCTGAAAAAAAGGTCTCGTGTGCTGGGAGTACTTGGAAGTCAGAAAGGTCCCAGTAGCTGAGAACTACGGGGTGGCGCACAATCACTCGGACTGATAAAAACGGGTGTATCTTCAGTCATATGAATCATGGAAGCAATTGATTTTCATGAAATGAAACAGCTTTGACAAGCGATAACTCAGCTCAAAGTTTATCACATAATTTGAAACTTGGTCAGTTTACTGATGAATTATTTGAATATTTGTAATCCACATTTGAGCCCAGTACAAACTTTAGTCCGGGTAACTATGCCTCACCCTGTACGTCGTCATCCACCTACCTGTATGTTGAAAACGTTGTCAGTCGAGACAATTTTTTCCTGGGCAGTTTCAGATTCATTGAGAATACATAAACGGCAATTAGGTTAGGTAGTTTCCGGTGTGTTGTGAAGGACTAGGTTGAAACTTTATTGCCGTGCTAGACATTTTTTTTTTTGGAATTTCAGTATTTTCAAAATTTCAGGTTGTTTTGATTGTTCTGGTATCCGTTTTGCACATTAATGTGGAGCAGTACGAGTAATGAATCGAATGTTTGGGAAACAGTAATTTTTTGCCCTCGAATGCCCACGGGACCAAGGGTGACCATCAAATATCAAATAGCTCTTTGTTATTAAAAGCCTTTTCAATTTCCTTAACTTTTTCACCGTTTTCTTCCTCTTTACCGTTCTTTAAAACCATCATAACCGTTGCGATTTTACGAGTCACATTCTCTCTAAATGACCGTCATTTTATCAACTTTCTCTTTCTTCTGTCTTACGATTTCTCTTCTTTCATTAATTTTTCCTCTTGTTTTTTTCTTTTTCTTGTACACTGTTCATTTTTTCATTCAATAGTTTTATTGGTTTGGAATGCCCCGTGAAATGTTTCGACAGGTATTATACATACAAGTAGAGAGAAGAAGGAAAAATAATTTAGGCAAGAAGTCAGCAGAATTAATATCCTGGAGCGGTTCTTGGGATTGGGCAGTGATCGCATCCTCCTGGAAAATGATAAAGGAGGGATTATTAGACATTGGGAAAACAATAGAAACTTACCCTTGGCTCCGTCCTTTCCTGGCTCTCCAGCCTCTCCTGGGGCTCCTGGTTTCCTGGGGCTCCGTCTTGTCCTGGCTCTCCTTGTGGTCCTGGTGGTCCTTGTGGTCCGGCGTTTCCTGGGTGTCCATCCTCTCCTGGTGGTCCTTGAGCTCCTGGCTCTCCTGGCTGTCCTGGGTTTCCTGGTGGGGCTGGAACAGTGCGGACTTGTCCTGGGGCTCCTGGTTGTCCTGGAGTTCCGTCTTGTCCGGCAGATCCTGGTGGTCCTTGTGGTCCTGGAGCTCCTGGGGTTCCTGGGCGTCCATTTGGTCCTTGCTCTCCTGGAGCTCCTGGTTGTCCTGGTGGTCCCTTTGGTCCTGGGTTTCCTGGGTTTCCGGCTGGCCCTGGTGGGCATTCGAAGCAGAAATCGGCTGGAGTTGGTTGAACATGATCATTTGGAGCATCTGGTCCTGGGGCTCCTGGAGCTCCTGGTCTTCCGTCGTTTCCTGGGGCTCCGTCTTGTCCTGGGTTTCCGACGGCTCCAGCTGGTCCGATTCCGCAAGAGCAGCATTGGTAGGTTTGACGCTTTTCACGGCTCTCGGCCTTACGGAATTGGTCGAGTTTGGTGTATTCTCCACGGAGAGAGTCGGAACGGGTACGGCAGAAGTTGATCTCGTCTTGGAGTCCAGATTGAACGTTTTGCATGTACATGCAGAGCATTGGAACAGCCACGATGGCAGTCAATGTGGCGACAGTGGAGACTGCGATTCCGAAGAACGCGAACTTCTTCACGGTCTCGACCTCCACCAACTTTTGCTTATCGTCTTGGCTCATACTGAAAGTTAAAAACTAGAACTACTGTATGAGAATGGTTTAAAGGAAATAAGAACTATGAAGTAATAGACTGGTTATTCTTGAAAATTTTTCAATGTTGTGTCAATTCAAGAATAATAATTGAATAGTAAAACAGGTAATTAAGTAATTAAAAGAAATAGCTAAAGTTTTTGAAGCTAGAAAAGAAGACAGAATGAAGAACGATGTGTTTCTCCTCTCGCCGTCACCGTCCTTATAAACGGGTCGGGTCTGCAGCGGTCGCCTACCCTTTTTGCTCCTTTTTTTGTTGTTCTGTTGAATATCGCCTAAGCTTTCCCATAAAATACCGTTCATATTGTGGAGAGTGCGAGAGAACGTCGTCGGCGTCGACTTATCAGATACATGTCTCGGAGGGCCGGTGAAACACCACCTACTCTCCTACCGACGCCCTTTCCCATGCCACGCAGAAGCTTGATCCGCTAGAAGAGAAAGAAAGAAGAGGAGAGAAGTTGAGAATACTGTTGAATGTGATATGCCTGATGATCAGTACTTCTAATGAACTGATTTTAAGGGTGTGGTTGGGTGCATTTTCAGTTCCTTTCATAATATAACTTCCGTGATGAAGTCAGGATGGAAATTCGGAGACCTCAATTACTGAAAAGTACAATTTCCATTTTCCAAATTTTGGGAGATTCATGTAAAATTCTTTAACTCACAAACATTTTTTTTTACATTTTCTATTTTTCAAATAAATTCCAGTAGCTTCATGGTTTGCAGCCAATTTCAGATCATTGCATCAATTTTCGGAAAAATGGGATCATAGAAGAACAATTTGATATAAAAATTGAGAACTCAAAAATTGTTCTTGAAAAAAATCTGAAATTCTCAAAAAATTTTTATGGATTTTCAATTTTTCACACTTTTTCAGTAGAATTATGTGTTTCAGACAATTTCAGATCGTGTCATCAATTTTCAGCGAAATTGGATTATTTAGAAAAACTTCAATTTTGGGCCAAAAAGTTTTTTTTTTTTGAAAAATTGAACTTTAACTGATATACTAGACACATCTGAACTTGTGTCCAGAATTATAAGAAGCACGATTGAATTCGATTTTATGATTTCAGGCCACTCCTCATTCGTTAGGCTTGTGATTTGTGAACATGATTTTAGAAATGTCTATAACATTCAAGACCCATACTGAATATCTGCTCCGCACTTCATAACTCAAAAGTTCAATTTTGTCTAGAACTTTTTTTTTCTCTTGATCAACTTCTTTCATTCCTTCCGCGTTCCAGTTCTGTGTCCATTTGTCGGCGAAATCGTTAGAACATATTTTTTTTGCGCTTTATCAAAATCTTCTCCTCATTTTTCTTATCCTTTGATATCCTCTTTTTCAACCCATTCCTTATGTACACACATACTTGACATTCTCATTATCAAATGATAATTCATAGAAGGATTCAGATGTCAGAAAGTAGTGATACGCTTGTATTGATAATGAGATATCGTCCTCTTTCTTTCCTCCTTTTTCCTTTTCCTTTTTGAGGACGTAAGAAGCCGACGAATGGTTGGTCGATGGCATTTTGGGTGTGGCATGAGAAAATATTCAAAAGGAAGAAGAAGACGTTCCGATGAGGTAACATGCAGTGATTTTTTACATCAGGTGGTATTTGTGACTCGCTGAGGTAAGATTGATGGGGAAGATGAAGCAATGTGAGGTCCAACATCATTACAGTAAATCACGTTGAGGGGGAAAACTTGAGGGGAGAACGTTCACATCAAACTCCAATCGCATCAATTATTCTAACATCAAACATATATCAGAAATCAGGAAAATAGAAAGATTAGGTTGAAACAAGAAGAGTTCAAATTTTCAGCGTTTTGTTTAGGATACATTTCCTTTAAGAGAAGCAAACCCAAACCGTCCACTTTGAACTCAATTATCTCGATTCTTGTAAAAGACACTAAAAATATGTCAACTGATAAAATATTGGTTATATTATAATAAATCATTCAGCAGTTGACAAATGTTTGATATCTTTTAAAGGAATTGAGATAAGGGATCTTGAAGTTAGAGGAAATACTGTATGGAGAAACTCTTGAAGTTTTTAAGAGGGTGTTTGTGTCCGTATACCTTCAAAAAGTTAGTTCTTTTTTTTTAAAGAAATACAATATCAGAGAGAAGACTTGTAACAGTTTTTAAAAATATTCAATTTTTCTTTCTATTTAGGAATATATAGGAATACTCTTTCTATTTTTATTAAATTTCTGGGCTTCCAGCAGGGATTCCAGGAATTCCAACTTCCGACTTCCCATTTGGAAAATTTGATTCTGACTTCCGATTTCCAAAAGAAGAAAATTTGCTTCCGATTTCTGAGTTTGAATATTCAATTTCCGGACATCTTTTTTTCAGACATAGGAAACACTTTCTCTTTGTTATTAAATTTCCAGGTTGAATGCCATATTCTCTTTTGTAATTTGCATTAAAGTCCTCGAACATTTCCCGTTTAATCAGTTTGAGAAGAATTATCTGAAATTCTGTTTTCTTAATTTACATTGCCTGGAACCTCCTACTTTCATATTGCTTTGCCAATGTACATTTTCAAACATTCCAAGCCTTCCGGCCCACTTTCCCATAATACCATTCCTAATAAAATATTTGATTTTTTTCAGATCTAAAAATATGCTGTTCTCAATTCTCCAATTAGAAGATGTTTTAATTTGTCCGTTTTGTTTCCGTCTGATAACATTATCGTTTGGACATCCCAAGTACTTCAAGTGATGATAATCGAAAGATACTATCATCTCCTCCCGAACGATCAGGACAAACCGATTTTCTCGTTTTCTCTTTCTCTGTGTTTGTTTTTTGTACTTTCTCTTTTTCGATGAAAAAAGAAGAGAAAGTTTATCCATCAAGAACTTTATCACTGTGATATTGATAATTATCATGAAAAGGGACTAATCGAAAAATCAAATGTTCTTCTCATTCTTTCTTCCTGGTTCAATTTTACGATAGAAGAAGATCTTGTTGGTTAGATAATTCATTTTTGAAGCATTAAAACTTCAAAAAACGGAAGATAAGAGAGTCTGTAGAAGTGTGTATCTGAGTGAGGGAAAGATGAACAGAGATGATTTCGTTCCGTTAAAAAAACCTAACCAAAAAAGAGGCGATCACAAATCGCACTCACTGATTTAGAAGGCGCTAAACGGGAGGAAAGGCAATAAAAAAGAGACAAAAGGCGATTGATGGAGTTGCTTTTTTGAGGTACGACTTGATGATTTCATGATGATACAAGTGCAATCGTTGGCACTGATCTTTCTCAAGGATTCCAAAAAGTGTGGCTTCTGATTGGAGAATCAGGCGAGGATTTTAGGGAACATCGATTGATTGCTTAAGGAAAAAAAATGAAATGAGGGATGATTCTTATCATAATCAATTGCAGAAAAATACCGTAAAACCTGTAATGAAAGGGCTCCCACACTGTCACGTTTGGGCTCAATTATCTCGGCTCCTATAAGAGATATCAAAGATGTGTCAACTGATAAAATATTGGTGATATTATGATAAACAGTTTATCAGTTGACAACTTTTTCATATCTTTCACAGGAACCGATGAAAATTGGCTCACATATGGTTTTACTGTAATTCTAAGGCGCACCAGCCAGCTGTTTGAAGCGCCGGAGGCGCGGCAAATAGACTGGTTAAGATAAACAATTTGTGAATTGATTCAAAGTTAAAAGATAGAGACGTTCTATTAGAGTGGTTTCAGTATCCATTCTGCTAGTTGGTTCCATAACTTTCGAAAATTCATTCGGAGTAACGAAGAGAATCTGTACATTAGAATCTGAACGTCACAGATCTTTACTAGTTGAATTTTCCAACTCTGTGTATGACTTTGCATGTCATCAGCTTTGGCTTTTTTGAATGGCTTTTTCCTCACATGATATCAGCAACCTTATTTTTCACGGAAATCAAAACTGGAGTTCTTCTGAAGATGACAACATTCAACAAGGGAACCACGTCGACGGCGCGCCAGAACTGCACGACACAGCTTTTCCAAAAAAAACCTAAATTAGGATAACAACTGTGAAGTGCCACAATCAACGATTTTTTTTTCAATCCGCTTTCTTTATCTTTTTTGGGCTGTGATGGTTCCTGACCTTCAATCTCCGCGTTCTGACTCAAAACTTAAATCCATTATTCATTATTTTTTCTTATAATTTGTCATTTCATTTCCTGCCAATGAAATATGATACATCAATCAATCCATAAAAACCGTTTCCACTTTTCTCTCAAAAGAACCATAACCGATGACGGAGAGAATAGGAGAGACATAGGAATATCTCCTTTTCGTCTTTCCTGAAAACGAGAAGACGTGAAAATAAACTTGCTAACCAACTGCTGCCCCTAGATGTTGTGGCTGTGGTAGCAGGTGAGTCTCTCGTCCGAATGAAAACGAAAAATGAGAAAGAAAGAGAGAAAATGAAAATGAGAAGGAATGAAGATGTGTCACAATGACTGATATCTCAAATATGTTCTGGACGATACTATGACAAAAACTGATGGAAAGAATTCTACAGAACTGGAGAATCAGATGAAGACGTTGCCAATATGAAAGTGTGATGCTTGGGATGCCAAATTACCAATTGGATTACGCCCTTTCGCGGGTAATCTTCGTGGCTCCCGTTTAAAATACCTGCACAAAACCTGATAAGAATCCTCTTTTTATTTTCAGATTGTTTGTTTTTGTTTCTGTTCACGAAATCACTATTTGTATTCCCAAGTCCCCAAAATCAAGTTCCAACATTTAAGTCACTCATATAGTCTATTGGAACATCGGAATTGTGAACAAATCAAGCAAATTGTTGAACAAATGAAAAACAACATAAGAAAGAAAACAGTTTACTTTGAAAATTGCTTTCCAATGAGTTCAATGAGTTTTCCTTATGGGTTGTACTCGATTGGGAGTTTCTTGCGACGAACCATACCGTCTCCTTGGAACCACTCGCGGCGGAATTGCTTGGCAGCTCCGTCTGGGGTGTTGGTCCACTCGACGGTGATACGGTCGTTGTTGGTGTCCTGAAAAATAGAAGAGATTCAGAAGAATTTAATTCAAATCCAGAATCCGTTGTCGTCGTATGGAGCATTGAAGACGATCTTGGCGTTTGGTTGGGTTTGGATGTCTCCTGGTGGGACGGATTGAGCCATGGCGATGGTTTGATGGAGTGTAGTACTCGATGGAGATTCTACTGGAGCCGCTTCCCTTTTATATTGATTTCTTATCTCTGCTCCAGATCTTTCCCCTAGATTTCTTAAACTGATAAGAGAAAAAGTTGGAAGTTCACGTAAATACTATAACGGTTCATGAATAATTTCCATCCCCATGGAGATTTTTTTCATGCTCATGCTCGAGAATGTGAGCTATTTAAATAACAGAACTTTTAACAGTAATCCTTGCAAAATATTTATCACCAGAAAACACTCATTTAGCGTAGTATTAAAAATAACACTTTAATTTAACTTCATACTGTTGAAATCCAAAATTTCGTGATTCGTTCGAAACGATGAGCCGAAAAGACGTTTTTCAGAATTCTACACAAATGTTTTTCGAAAAAATTATATAACGGGTGGCGCACAATCACTCGGACTGATAAAAACGGGTGTATCTTCAGTCATAAGAATCTTGGAGGCACGAAAATCGGTAGAAATATAATTTTACGTTTGATTCAATTTTCAAAGCGATTTCTCAAGTCTAGGTATTGTTATGACAACCAATAACTCAGCTTAAAGTTGATCATATAATTTGAAACTTGGCCAGATTACTGATGAATTATTTGAGTTTCTGCACTCCAAGTTTGAGCCCAGTTCAACGCTTTACTTTAAAACATTTTATGCCAGTACAGACTTAAGTCCGAGTAGTTATACTCCACCCTGTACAGTTGATCCAGATTTTCTACTAAGTTTATCCATAAACTATCGATAATTGAGTTTCTTCACGAAAACGCTGACAAATCTAGAAAACATGATTTGCTCTCTACAAATTTCCTTAAGTCATACTTTATCAAATTCCGACAAAATCTTTAGTCTTGGAAACTCAATTTCCATAACATTGTAAGATTCTGATAATATCAGAAATCTTTCCCCCAAGATCTGATCATACTAGACTCATGTGTGAATCAAAACTGCGAAAAAGTTGTGCTCAAAAGTCTCAAGTTTTGTCATCAAATCGGCGGACACATAGTGGAGAAAAGAACAAATAATGATGACGGTGATTGATATAAAAATGATAAGAATAACCTCGTATTTCTTATACCTTCCAAATTCATTCGTTAACTGAAAATGGTTCACTTCAAGCTAATCTATTTCCCTTTGAGAGCTCGTGCTGAAATCGCCAGACAACTTTTTGCATATGCCGGAAAGGATTATACTGAGGAAGTTGTTACTTTCGAGCAATGGCCTGCATTGAAAAATAGTATGTTGAATTTATAAAATAAGGATCTTAAGTGAAAGAGGTTACTTGTTTTCTTTTCTGAAACTTCATAGCCCCTTTCCTGAATTTTAAGACTGTGACCTGAAAGGGA